TGAAACGCGTTACGTCGTGTTATACCACGGACATGCCAGTTTTTAAATGAGGGCTCTCGTAGGGAAGGAACACCGCGGTGGGCAAGTTTTCTTTATTTTTTCTTTTTTTTTTTGCAGGAGGTAATCATCCCAGCCACCCAGGTGCTCCTGCCCTACCTAGGCTTATTTGGGAAACTAAATTTCCTTAGCTGGAACCGCTTCAAAGAGTTAAGGTGGTCGGTTCCGATCATCCTCTACGCATCCGATACAGTGCTGATATAACAAAGGCTAACACGTTAGACTGAGTTCATTTCTTGATATACTGACCTTCGGATGGGTGGCCCCCCCAACTACATTTTCACCTCAACTTACTTCGGAGCCACGTTTATACTCGGCGTCCTCGCAGCTCGACTTTTCAACTACAGCCAAGTCAACACGTATATACGCGTCGCTACACGCAACGCCCCTAACGGCAAAATCGATGTGTTTCAAAGGTTCATTGAACTGCGAAACTAGACCTACTTGGTGGTGGTGACAACCGCTCACTGCAGCTCACAAGCTGGGTGAGCGGTTGCAGCTACCACGCGCGCTCAATCGATAACCATGTTTACTCCTAGCGGTTGAGTGCAGTTCCGCGAACTGTGCACCTAGATTTCGACGATGATTACCAATTGAAATATATGAAGTCCAAGAAGACTGGAAGTTTACAGCTGCCCACTTCGGTCACGATGCCAACATACCCTGGAGATCGTATTGGTGAGAGTCTGACAGATTTTTCGGAAGCTGAATGGAAAGAAGGACGGCAAGCCTATCCAGCGGATTTTTTAAATCTGCTAAGAGACGATGTGAGTAAAAAGCCTGATTTTTTACTTTTTCCTGTATTGCCGGCCTGATTTGGTACTGAAAAATACTACCCTCAGGGCCATGTTCACGTTTTTGCTCCACGAGAAAAGGCTGCGGAATACTTAATGAGTTTTGGAGAACGGCGAAGACGTAGACATCGTCCGAAACGCGATGTGAGGATGTATGGAGCAACTGCAGAAGGATCCAGTTAGTTTTCTCGGTCAAGCCGAAGGTAGAAGTAGGTGGATAAATAGTGGAAGTGAATCGCTGATACCAAGTACTTCACTCAACCATAACTCATGCAGTAGTTCGTGCTCTCTAACAAAACATTATGGGGAAAGTCTTAAATTGTCTCTCTCGAATCCAGAGAGATTTCTAGCTCTGAATGTGTCTACGTCTCCTCCGCTTTATGAAGAGCTAAGCAAAGTTGTCATTTGACACTTTGAGTCAAAACCAGTCGTCCACACTTCTAGGCTAGGGTCTTTTCAGTGTTGGGTGATCTGGTCTGTCAGACTTTCAAAACTAAGACAGGGGCGGAACTTCCCTGAACGACTACCAATTCATCCCATCTATCACCGGGGATCTTTTGGCACCGTATCGTGCATTGTTCCAATGACCCTGACCACGAGATCTTCGTGCATGCACGGAATCGAGGTGTGGGGTGCAGTGGGAAGGCTAAAAAAGTGGGCTCAGACTTGGATGTCCTTTGGCTGACCGAAATTCCGGATTATCATGTATTTTTTTTTNNNTTTTTTTTTATTTTGATGTTTGGCTCTGCTTACACGAATCTCCTTACATGCTTCATGAAAACTAATCAAAAATTACTTGGTCTCCTTGGTATATAGTGATGCAAGCATGACACTGCCAGTCAAAAAAGGGGTGAAGCGATTGGTAGTCACTTGCGCTATCAATTCTCTGCCTTCTACTTGTGTCTGCTGCCTGGCTTTTTCGAAAACTTCAACGGCTAGCCTGGGAAGGGAGAAATTGCTTTGTTGAATCCCTTGTTTCATGTATATGGCGACCTAAAATGAAAGAAATCACGAAAAATTTGTGAAGGTAGCGTCCCTGACTGTAAATTCATTTCAAAGGTATGGTATAGTAGAATGTCTCGATCACGGTAAGATTGTGGGAGATCATTTTCTTCAGGACCAATTCTGTCTTTCGGTGAACTGGTCCAGGCTATCACAGACTTGTTGAATGAAGATAAAGAACAAAACGAGGGTGTAAAGGTTTGTAAAATCAGTTTGTTATTGAGCTCTGACAGAACTCCTTAAGTTGGTATGGATATCGATTTTACGCGCATGAGACCTACATCCCTGCGCAACCTGAGTCCACTGAGGATCGAAGGGTGAAGGAGCATTCCATCGGACAGAAATGCTGCTGATCAGATCCTTCTCTATTAACGCGGGCAGTTTGCATTTCAAGTCACTCTGTCATCAATATCGATTGAATGAGCGCAAAATCGATGTTTATACCAAAATACAGGCTGGATGCTTGAATCGACTAAAGTTTAAAAACTTGAAAGCATCTTCGACTGTATTTCCAAATACTTGATTCCGGCGAATAAACTGAGCAGCTTCATTTTCAGATTCACATATCAGTGAGGGTAATTGGTTCTCAAGACAAGCATCACGAAGCGACGACTGTAATTTCAGCATAGTGAAATACATCATTTTGACGTAAAGCACATCTAATGAGATCACAATCATTAAACATTTTTGTCCGCTTTCTATGAATCACCGTGGATATTTGGCTACATAAAGTGGAAAAAATAAATTCTCTGAAGGTATCGCGCACAAGCAATTGAACATTAAGTCTTCGGACGTTAGCCAACTCCTTCTGAGGAGTGCGCCCTGTGTTCGACTTCTTCAGAATTGTAGTGGCATATTGAGTGCGTATGTGGCCTATACGATGACTTGCTGTGGCTAGTTGACGTTCAACTCATCGCTTTTACCCTCCCGAAAGAATCGAGTTTGGAGGGATTTCCCAAGATAAAGTGCTGGTGAAGGTGTCTGGTTCGTTGCTTGGATTGAAACTTAATCTCTTAACAAATTACTTTAATTCCTTCGAAAAAGAAAAACATCTGCAACGAACCAGAAACTCTAATCGTCTGTGAATGTTTTTTTCCCTGATAATGCTGGAGAGCTTTTCAGATGACGCCTTTTATCCGTTACTGAAATGAGGGCAAGTGAAGCCTCTGCAGTGTGGGGAGGAAGGAGCACGTTGCTTGTAAAAAACAAGAACATTTTCGAGTCTCGGGACGTTATCGTAGCTGCCGACAAATTACAAGGCGCCATATGAAAGAAGTGATGAAACGGATTCTCCAAAAAGCGGTTTCCTCCTTGGAAACGTCATTACCCACTGTGCCAACTCATTAACGAGCCACGCCTCTCCTTAGTAGTAATATTTTAACCACCATCACCAATCTAGCCTTTTCCACCTTTAGGCCCTCCAGTTGTTAAAAGCACCATACATCATACATCACGTTTCGGACGTTTGCAACGAGCTTTATTAACCATAACTAGGCCTGACTATACCTGCGCTCTAACTGATGCTTTAGGGTGCGAGAGGGGTCCCCACAATGCTCTTAGGGCATTTCCACTGCCGATTACTGAACAGTTTAAAGAAACATGAATGCGGTAAGCATACTCTGCTGTCGGGGTTTGTTAACCACAGTGTTTTTCATAGGCTACGAAGGTGTAAGGTTGTAGCAACCGATGCTCACTCGACGGAAAAGTAATGACGCTTGGGCTGGACAGATACCAAAATGAACGGTCCCGACGCGTTATCAGTTGGCGGACGTGGCAATTTGGTGCAACAAAAAACAACCCGTGACGAAAAGGAAATTTTATTAGAGGATCGGCTCATACGGTACATGGCCTGGATCCATCGACCAGTGACTACTGCGTAACCTTCTCCGTAACCAGCTCCTTTAGTGTTTCACAAAAGATTGTACAATCTTGAAATTCTTCTACTTCATGTCAATGTGGGGCAGTTGTCGGTCTCGACAGTCCCCACAATACTCGCGGAACTTCCCCTGTTCTGAGCAATCTCATAGTAGGCATGATGTCTTTTGGAATACATTGCAGCCCGGTCACTTACAACTACTTCATGTTTGTTTAAATGAATTCTTACTCAAAGGACCGGCCGTAGAAATTTAAATGAGTTCCACCTGCTGTGCTAGAAAGTCGACCTAGGACATATTGACAATTCGCCTTCTTCGTCTTTTTTCTAATGAATTAATTATTTAATGTTGAGTTATCCGACGATACAATTTTCCACCACAAATATTTCAGGTATTACTTCGACAACAGGAAGGTGACCATCGTTGTGAAATCAGCGGAAGCAGAACGCAATGCACGAAATGTCGGCACCGCCTCTGGAAGAAAACATTGAGGAGGACATTTTCGAATACAAGGTGAGAAGTGTAGTTAGTTTTGGTATTTATGGAATAAAGCATGACGTTTAGTCAGGTGGCAATGCTTATCTGTCAGTATTCCCAGGCCCAAATGTCCCTTTGGGACAGAGATCATCTTGGGAAAACTGAACGATACGATTATCTTCCACAGCCAAAATAATCGTAGGGTAATCCATCTGATTATTTTCACTGAGTCCATTGTAACCCAGAATTAGCCATCTACCAATACCTTTCCATAAGAACGCATCCACGCCTAAAGTAACCAAGCAGGGCCAAGTCGCACTGATACGTATGAAGTGCGACTCGTTGTTTTTTCAATGATCTGGTGAGCTTCTAAACTGAAGAGCTGGAGTATGAGGTCCACTGTGGACCTGCTGGATTATATGAGGAACACCTGGCCCTCTGCCAAGAGATTAACCATGGAATTCAATAATGATAATATTTCCAGCAATCATGCTTAATGTAAGGGCGTCGACGATCATGTTAGAGAATGCCTGTCGTACGATGTGCACCTGACCACCATTCATCTGTGAAATTTTGTCATTTTCGTAGGAGCATCCCCTTTTATCAGAACACCCACTCTGGCATCCAATGATGCGAACTGTTTCCATTCATAGAGGTTCCACCGTTGTGAATGGTATTGTAGTCTAGGCGATTCTTATCCCGATGTTCTCAGTCATCTCAGGAAGATCGGCAGAGAGCGGTTGTTTCTTCATTCCTTAGCATTTCCGTGTTCAGAGTCCTACTCACAGTCGTTCTCTTGTCAAAAAGCTCGCTGGATTACGTGATGACCGTCGCTTTTGTGATATGACTTTGATAGCCAAGGTAGGCCACAGGAAATGCATCGATCCAGTGATCTGTGGGATTACCTAGGAATTCCGTATCAATGCCCATCGAAACGTTCTCGCTGCATACTCGGACTACTTCAGGGCCATGTTCACACGTGAAATGATCGAATCTCGGCAAAGTACGTTCATGGCTTCTGATATGTGCCTCTACAGTCTCAACTGTTTCCCATTCAATTTTGAGCTCTGCATTATTTATAAGATTTTTCAGCAGAAATACAAATGGTCGATATCGAAGGGGCAGCGCTTGATGCTCTGATTAATTTCTGCTATTCTGGTAAGATACAGGTCAGCGACGTTAACTTCACGAGCATCTTCCACGCTGCTTGTCTGCTTCAGTTGGACGAAGTCAAGGTTTCTTATGTTACTCGATAGAAAGCGATGATTCGCACTACCCAATGAATACCTAGGCCGTTTGTCTTGAGTTCTTCAAGAAAAAGTTACGTCCTCATAATTGTCTGGTAGTTCGAAAATTGGCCGATAAACATTCATGTCGGGAACTTGTTCGTTGTGTTGATAACTACATCTTGAAGAATTTCCAGGTAGCCAGTTTCTGGTTTTGAACTCATCGTTCACAATTACTTTGCTTTCTCTTTTCAGAATATAATAGGCACTGAGGAGTTTCATCGTCTCCCATCAAATCAATTTGTCCAGCTCCTGTCGAGCGATGAGCTTGTTGTGCGTTCAGAAGAGCAGGTAGTGTGTCAGTTTTCTGAAGCCTTCTTCTCTTTCTCGGTGATGTTGTACATTTTTGTCTTCAAAAGTGTTACCTGCAAAAGTGACTCCAGGTTTTCCTTGCTTTGCTTGGATGGGTTGAGTTCGACTCGTCATCACGAAAACACTTGCTCCCAAAGGTAAAAGTAGGAAGCTTGCACGGATACAGACCTCTACTCATCGATTGCAGCTGTTGGAACACGTACAATTCTCTCTTTGTGAGCCAGACTTTCTTGTCAATACAGTAAGCAAGAATGCCCTTGTGATGGCTGACTCCACCTGCCGCAACTTTGTCGACAAAGCGAAGGTTAGAAACAATTTGCTGTAAGCTACCAATGGGAGGTTTGCTCCTCAATTTTTTGAGAAGCTCATATTTCCTACGTGATCACATGGCTGAAGTTTTAGAATGAACTTATCCTTCAACTAACTACACCTGGACGTTCGGAGGTGAAACGGAGGAGCACTCGAGTGTGTAGAGTGGTTGCTGAAGTAATTTATGTTGGTATGAGGTCTAACAAGAGTTTCGAAATTTTTATTTGTCTCATTGCTACGTAAGCAAAAGCCTAACGGTGTTTTTTCCCATAATGGCTTCCATATTGCTAACTTTTTCTCGCTTTTAACATCTGTAGGAAGATTGTGCCTCGTTTTTTTTNTTTTTTTTAAGTGGGAAGGGGAATCCAATCTTACTGCGCTACTGGAATCGCTTAACAACTGGACCGCATCCTTGGATGAAGGAGTTAGCGTGGACGTAGTATACTTAGATTTTCCCAGAGCTTTTCATCGAGTAGATCACCAAAAGCTCTCTTTGATTGAAATATAATACAATCTCGAATTATTCCCTGGATCCGCGCCTTTTTAATTGACCGTCAGTTCATGGTTCGAGTCAATGATACCTTCTCTTGTCCACGAAAGGCGCCTAGTGGGATGACTCAGGATGGGGTCCTTTCTCCTGTCCTCTTCAAATTTTTACGTTTGACTTGCCCTGTACCATTACTAGTTCGTTTACTAGTCCGGTGCGTTCGTTTGAAGACTGCCCGCGCCTTCAGAAGGCCATTGATGCTGTTAGCAACTGCTCTAGGAAGTGGGGCCTAGCGGGCCTAGTGGGAAAACTAGTGTTTTGCATCCTTCGTTGAAAAATGAACAAGTCACATACAGCATAGAAGGAGCACCAATCACGAAGGTAGAGCAGCAGAGAGATTTGGGCTTTCTCATCACAAGGGACCTTTCCTTCGATACTCATTGCGAGAATATTGCACGAAAGGCTATCTCAGTGGCACAGAACTTGTTTAGAATCCTTACTACAAAAAATACTGCGGTCCTGTTACGTGCAACTGGTCTAGGAAGTGGGGCCTACCGGGCCTAGTGGGAAAACTAGTGTTTTGCTAGTTTTGCTGAACAAGTGTTCAGGCCCATTTTGGAATACGGCACGCCTGTTTTTAACCCGTATAAAGCCAAATCGATCCTAGCTCTTGAGCGAGTTCAGAACTCAATCACTCGAAAATTGATGATTAGGGCCCTCCGGTTTAAATACGATGGTATACCTCCTAGTAAGGAAAGGAATAAGAATTTACAGCTGCACACTCTTTCGTATAGACGAAGGAAGTTTGACCTCATTCTATTTCAAAAATTCTCTAAGGTCATTGCGGTCTCAACCCTGGTCACTTTTGTATTGAACGGCCCACGGTTACCAGAGATGCTCCCATTAAACGAGGTACTCCGCGAGCTAAGCACAACCTACCATTACATTTCTTCATAACTAACCGGCACGGACTATTTCAAACTTGCTGGATCTATAACCTTTCCGTTAAGTATACATGCTTTCAAAAACTCGATCGACCGCCACTTGGTTCCGTAGAGTACCCGTTCCTATGCCGTTTTTTTGAATCCTATAGTTTTTTCTCTTTGTTTACTTTTCTTTCTTTACACTTTAGCTTTCGTTGGTTGTTTTGTTTTCCTTGTTGGTGTCACGGTGCCAATTTGATCACCTTCACATGAGTTTAGCTCATGTAATAAATATAAATATAAATGTGTAACTTCAGTGGGTGGAACAGGCGTGGAGAGTGGGGAATGTCTGGATTTTGAAGGCGTTAACCGTGTATGGCAGTACACTGCTCCTTTGAAGATGGAAAGGTACAAGATCCTCTCAACATGCGCTTACCATCCTGGAAATGGTATAATTCTTTAGGTATTTTAATGGCGTTGCTGTTTTCGATAAATTCATTTATGCTGTGTGTGGGCGTGATCCGATCGATGTTTTGAATACTATAGACAGGTACTGCGTTTTTTTTACTAATAAGCAGAGCCTTTAACTAAAAGTTGTATTCTTGTAGTATTATCTTTAAATCAGTTCTAAGTCAGTGTTAGTCCGCTAGTTCACTAGAGGTAGGGGTCAGTCAAAGATCTGCTTTCAGAGAAAAACTCAACGGAAATAAGCGAAAAAATTCGCTTTACACGGACTGCATTTTCAGAAAGATACGTGTAGGCAGTTCTTGGAGCATATTCTTTCAAAGCTTCGGTTCTATCGCTAAAATTGAAAGATTGTAGTTCCCTCGAAGTCATTCGCATAGCCATGTGAAAATCTCTTCAGATATAATCCTGCCACTGACCAGTGGATGTCTGATGTCGCTCCCTGTCCCACTGCTCGATGTTGTCTGGATGTAGCTGCTCTTAACGACCATCTGTATGCTATCGGCGGCGTTAAGAGTGTTCGTGGAGGATGCCTAGACATTGTTGAACGGTAACGGCAGGTTTGATCGATTCTCGCCCATACTGAATTCCGTGATGTCGTTGCAGTTACGACGTTCGGCGAAATGAATGGACCTCCGTGGCGCCTATGGGCTCATCTCGATACTTCCATTGTGTCTCCGTGTTAGATGGTTGCCTCTACGCAGTAGGAGGGCGCAGCAGTAAGGGTGTTTTTCTCAATACCGTAGAGAGGTGGGTCAGTTTCAATCTGGTGACACTGTACTGCTTCAAGCAGATTTTATTAGCATTCAACATCTTTAATTTCTCTTGCGGAACAACTAGAAAAAGGACCAATTTTGGGAAGCAATGCGAATAAAAAGACCAAAAATCATGATTTTCTTGTACTGTAATCTCAAAGCAGCTATACACCATGTCAATCAGCATTTGAGGTGGACGTCTCGTTAAATTTTACTTCACTGTAGTCGGAAACGGATCCTCATCATCATAATCTTTAAGAGCCCGTGGAAACAAACTCATTAATCACATAATCAGGGCATATAGGAGTGCTATACTTCCTTGATATTCAGAATCAGGAGAGGGGAACGACTGTACAAATTTTCCAATACATTGGCGAGGATTCTTCGGTGTGGTAGCTGTCCACGGGAGCTGGTTTTCTGTGCTTATGATAGTCCTGTACATATTTTTTTTCCTTTTGAGTTCTTTTTGAAATAAATTGTGAAGAAATTTTAGAATTGTGAAGAAATTTTAGAACACATTTGAACAGCTGTCAAAATAGCCTTTCATGTTTCAGGTTCGACCCACGGGTCGGTAAATGGGAAGGGGTTTGTCCCATGTCAACACCTCGAAAGGGCCATGGTTCTGCAGTGCTCCATAGCGAATTGTATGTAGTAGGTGGAAGCAATGAAAATGCAGTCGACTTGAGCTCTGCTGAGAAATACGACCTCCGTGCTGAGAAATGGACTTCCGTGGCTAGTATGAGCCGGTGCCGAAATGGTGTAAGTCAGCTGTATTCCCTATACCACTTTATTCATGTTTATTTTTGTGCCGTTTTCAGTTAGGACTGGCTGCAGTTAATGGAAAGTTGTATGCTATTGGTGGGAAGAATGGTTCAGTAGTACATAATTCAGTTGAGGTTTTCGATCCAAAGACGGACCGATGGAAACACCACAGTAACATGAACTGCAAGTTGGTGTATTTGACTGTACGCCCATTTTTCGTGCTTTCCTCGACGATAGAAACTTTTAGGCGATCCTACTCTGGTGTGGCTGTTCTACAGAAGCTTTAGGTATTAAAAAAAGCAAAAAAGCTCTTCATAGGTAGCAGCATCTTGTTTCTGTAATCGCATTCCTTATTATTCGGTTATCACATACCATTCACATTACAAGAACCTCTTTACTTTGCTACTTTGCTTTGCTACTACTAGTACTTTGCTTAGAATGATTTTTTCTGTGAAGATCAGTCAATAAATTTCATTGATTGTCAAACTGTATTTCTGTTTCGCGGGAGGGCTATTCAATGAAAAGTTTCAACTTTTCATTCGATCGATTTGAACAATTCCATTCCATGACTGACTCCAAGTCCATGAACAAGGTTATTAGGCCATGTCAAACTTTTTTGCACTCGAGCGCCACCTCTAAAGCAGTATGTGTCTAAAGTATGCAGTGGAAGGATCTGTATTCTTATGCCTCAACTCCGGTTCGGGCAATTAGCTTCGATGGACATAACTTGGCCTGATCGAACTCTCACCCCAGTCGAGTACTACTTTAATGTTGGTGAGCAGTAATTGACGTAAGGATTCATTAGGCACGACAGCTACTTGCATAGTCTAAATTTTGCTGAATTGTGACTACCTTGCTCAATGGCAGCACCTCCCTGTCGAGGCTTGTGGAACCGCGGTTGAATTGCATCGGGCGACCAATGGTATTAGTTGGTGAATGACGGTATTTCTGTTGGATCTGTAGCTATGCATGCTACGTTCGTGGAGATCTGTCTATTGACCATTGTGACTACATAGACCATTGCGCCATCTTTCATACCCCAGTCTAGCACCCTTCTCGTTTAGGTTGCTATGGCGCTCCAATCACATTAATTATTAAGGAACAGTTATCAGTTTCAAGAGACTCCGAAGTATTCTTGTAATTTTTAGTAGTTGATTTGATGTAGTTAACTTATGTACTGAGCGGCTCTTGTCATTGAAATCTTTTTACTCCAAAGGGACACCCACACCTTCCTCACCGATTTTGTTGAAGTACTTCTACCTTAACCTCTGTCTCAATTAAAAGCGGGAACTCCCCTCCTATCTGTTGGAGTTGATTATTATGAAGATGTTGGCTAGTGGGTAACGAGAGTTGCACTAATCGAAAATGCTTCCCCTACCACCCAGAAAACTTCGACATGAATACTTACTGGGACTTTCGGATTCTTATTCTTCATGGTACTATTTTTAGGTTATTAATTCAACAATAGTCAATTATTCCGCAGTATAACTTACTAACAGCTTCATTCAAATCTTGTATTCTCGGAATGCTCAAACTGAAGGTGTCAGATCACTCAGATGCTGAGTTAGCAGGCACGGCAATGTTTGCTGTAAGGGCATACGTTGATAAGAAGAGGTTACATAACTCAACAGTAAATCACGCCAGCCTTATTTCCCCCGTTTTACCAAGCACGAGGCTCAAAAATTCAAGGATCCTAAAATCGGTCTGGTAGGAATATTCCGTTGGAAATTGTGTTCTCTGCCTTTATAAAGGGGTAGGTAAAGATACCAGTTCGAAGGGCATAAAGTGTAGTGACGGAAGCAGTCTTATCGTTTTTTTCAGCGTGGCAATTCAATACTACCTAAGTGTATGCTACCGCAGGGATCGCCCCGCTTCCACGAAGCTCGCCTCCCTTTCGTGTTAAATTTATCCCGCCGCCTGCACCTCTTTCATATGGACCCTCTGATAAATAAGAACAGGAGTTATTGGTTTCTGGCCAAACACGTCCATACAGCACACGCAACACGCACAACACACATCAACTAATCGACCCTGATGGGCTGAAGGACTTATTAGTTAGTTGGCTCATCGTTACGGGATTCGAGTCTGCGACCATACGTGCGTGATAGTGCACTACTTGCCACTACACCATCTGCATCCGGTCTCACAATCAAATGGTAGCTGAACAGCAGTAGCAGACGCGACATCTATTATTATAGTCAACGGACTCGATCTTATAAACTCGCCCATGCCTTATCCAGGTCAATGTAAGGAGCTCCAGCTACATCAGAATTTGAAGCCCTTCGAGGTCGACTAAGTCGTATCAGTCGTAACAGACAATTCTGTAAAGCAAGCCCACGCCAGGAGCCTGAAATGGTTTAATACGTGGCGTAATCCACAAAAATGGATTGACGGCGTGTTCCTGCTACGGGCCATACATTGCATTTTATTGCTCGTTCCGAAGTTACCCTCCTCTCTTCTTTGACAGAATATGGAAATACGTATATATAGATGAAGACGAATCATTATGTACGTCGGTATTGCCAAGCCTATTTCCCTTATCAATCGCCCAGAAAGATGGCATGTTGTGGAGGTCGTGGTAGAAACAAACACACAGGAATCTGTCACATCTCTACACCGCCGAAACGCTAAGCTCTAAAAGAGACGTTGGGTGGACGAGATGTTTTTCTTTGTGAAAAGACTTTCGTGTCAGTCGGCATTAATAGCTCACGCATTCTACGGTTCATGGCACGTATACTAGTTAAGAAAACTGGAAATAACCCAGTTTAGTACGAAGAATCCTATCGAATGATCAAGTGTGGGTGGGTTTAATGGAGGCCTCGAAAGCATTGCTAAACCACAGGTAGGAGTACGAATTAGCGAAGGACGTGAATTAGGTGCGGTGAAGTTTATTTTCCGGGTCAGAGAATACTTCAAAGGGCAGCTACTCAGTTGTATGGGCATATCAGGAAATTTCAAGATTTTCTAGATTAGGCTATAATCGAACTCGTAAGAAGTACGAGCTGAACATGGTTGGACCATTGGGTCATTTATGCGTAACTAAGTAGGGAAGAGGGAGCCGGATATGGTACGCGTGGGTCGTGCCCTTCACAGAGACTCTATGGAAGCTTCCTGGAAACAGTCCTTCATTCCATCAACAGTAGCTAAACGATGAATACCTTGAGTGAAGGAT